CCCCAAAACCCCAAAACCCCAAAACCCCAAAACCCCAAAACCCCTCAGTAAGTATAAAATGTGGACCGAGCTTTATATAATAATGGCTTCATCAAAAATGTTTTGGCTGACTCTTGCCCTAATTTGTATGTTAGGAGCAGTTTCAGCGGACTATCACCCTGTAAATGAACAGCTTGTTCAGGAGATTAAGGAGACAGCTACCTGGACTCCCATGGAGGTTGATGAGAACCCTTTCGCTCATTGGTCTCTGGAAGAAATCAAAGCTCTGATGGGTACTAATTTAGAAGATGACCTTGACTCTTTCGAAGCTGGAGAAATTGAAATTTACCAAGGAGAAGATCTTGAAGATTATCCAGAAAGTTTCGATGGAAGAAGAGAATTTGGATCAGCCATTAAACCAATCAGGAACCAACAGAAATGTGGATCATGTTGGGCATTCGGAGCTGTTACTGCTTTCTCTGATAGATACAATATTGCCACAGGAAATGCAGAACAGAAAATCTTTTCTCCACAAGATATGGTCTCTTGCAGTCAACAAAACAGAGCTTGTGCTGGAGGATTCGTTCCTAAAGCTTGGAACTACATCAAAGTTAAAGGAGTTGTAGATGACGATTGTCACCCATACACATCCGGAGAAACTAAAAAGAGAGGTTCCTGCCTCAAAAAGTGTGTTGACGGATCAGCCATGAAGAGATACAAATGAGGACAACTACATCATGCAGGGAGCACTAAAGGAGCCAGAGGCATGATCCAGAAAGGCCCAGTCGAAGGAGCCTTCACTGTCTATGACGACTTTATGAGTTATGGTGGTGGAATCTACCAACATAAATCTGGAAAAATGTTGGGTGGCCACGCTATCAAGATCATTGGTTGGGGTAAAGAAGGAGACCTCTACTATTGGCTTTGTGCCAATTCCTGGGGACCAGCCTGGGGAGAAAACGGATACTTTAGAATCCAGATGGGACAGGTCGGAATCAACAACAAGATTTACGCTGCTAATCCTATCATCAAGAGTTTGGAGGAAGAACTTAAAGAATCGACCAATGTTGTATCAGAATAGATTCTTTGATTATAAAAATTACTCCAATTCAGCAACGAATTATTATTAAGGGGTTTTGGGGTTTTGGGGTTTTGGGGTTTTGGGGTTTTGGGGTTTTGGGGTTTTGGGG